TTAAGAGTTTGGGTCTTTTTGGTTTTAGTTTGGTCTTTCACAAATTTCAAGTTTGTAAACTGTCTCTTAGTCCCTGTAGTTTTGGAAGGGCACCTTTTACTAATTTGTGGAAAACCAGTGATGTAAGACATTTATTTGGTATTTATTGGGAAGGGATTTGACCTTTAGGTTTGACACTTTAAATCCACTAGTACAATCAGTTCATTTATTCTCGAGCTAATTATCAAGTTTGTGACTTCTCTGGATTCCCTTTTTATCCTATTTCTTTTTTGGCAGCTTATTATTTAACAGCAAGGAGAAAAGTGAAAGGAAATAAAAATAAACGTAAACCAAAAAACTAACAAATTTTAGTAGAATTTTGTAGATGTCAAATTTCAATAAAAGTCAGAGTTCTGGGGGAAACATGATGGAGAAGTGAAAGTTGTTTGTTTTTTTTTTAACCAAAGAAGGGCATTTAAATTGTCTTTGAATGTCAAGTCAGAATGCATTTTTAGTTTCCCACTTCTTCATAAGAAGTGCCTCGTAAGAACTTCATAAGAACTCCCTCTTCTTCCAAAGGAAGAGATGTAAGAAGCAAATCAGTGCCCTGAAATTTTCTTATAGAGGATGTGATAGCATGTTTGGCACTACAAGTGATACCAGAATAGGAGTTGTTAGCGGTAGGGAGATTTGGGAGTGGTGACTATGAGAGAGAAATGAAGAAAAATGTGGTGGGTGGGAGTAGGAAACAGCAGACCTATTTGAGTGAAAATACCAGCCCATTGATATGGTATAGGGTGCAGTGGGATGTGGAATTGCCGTAAGAGTTAGGCAGCAGCTAGATATAGAATGTTAGAAGTTTGGTTTAGGATTTTGAATTTTATCCAAAGGATTTACCAAAATGTGTTCTGTGGGATGATGATAGGATGGAGGGAGTTTTTTTTTTTTTTTTTAAATATGGTGAAAAACATTTGAGAAGGATCAAGTAAGACAAAGTTAAGTAGGTGTGTTTATTGTACAATCTCTCAGACCCTTTATATTGGGAAACATTTCAATAACTGTTTGACTACCAAACGTGTTTGAAGGGGTGTCTCTTATTTCTCAATGTGGTTTGTGAAAACCTGAAATAAGCAGCTGGGTGTCATCCAAAAGTTTTAAGCAGAAATTTATAGACAATTATGTAATCTAATTATATTCTCAGCACAGTGTGATATTCTTCATTAGGTTTTCTTCAGTCAGTATTTTTTAACAGCAGATATTTTGAAAATGATGAACTAGCTCTTCTTGATTAGCAAGATGCATAGATACGGACATTCAAAAAATAACATGTTGATGATCTGTAAAATGCTGTCTGAATTATTTGAGTAAAGGCAACATATAAGTGAGAAAGTTGAGGACAAACTGGAGAATTAAAGATGTTTTCAGTGATGATTTAGCAGATTGTTTAATGCTAATTCTTGTCTCAGAGATTGCTAGCAACCGGAAGTATGTTTTTCTTTTGGCCTGCGATTATTTCTGGTGAGGTTCTTTATCCAGGGAGTTCAGGGAGTACATTGCGAAGAAAGCAGCCAAATTGAAACTTGAATTGAGAAGGATGGTGGTGGTAGGGGAGTTACTGGTTTGTTTGGCCCTCAACTTTTATAGATTAAAGTGATCTTAGTTGTAGGCATCTTTGATATATATTGTAAAGGTGTATTCAAGGAGTATAAAATTCGAGGAGAGAAAAATTTTGAAGGTGGAAAGGAAAGGGAATTGTATCTGATGGAACAGAAAGATCAAACTGATAAATATAAGTCTCAGAATTTTCATTTCCTTAACTCCCTACTTTTATTCAATCTTTTTGATTTAATAGAATTTTTATTAAGTGTTTATTATTAGCCAAATTATCTAGCAGGGGAATATAGAATCAGAGTGTTTTGAGGTTGATACAACCTCAGTCTTTTCATTGCCATTTGTGTAGTGATCAAAAGCTGACCTTGGAGCTGGATGGCCTAGGTAATAATTTATTGAATTATTCAGTTGCTTCAGGACCTGCTCCACTAGCTGTTACGATTTTGGGCAAACTGCTTAACCTGCTTATTTTTCAGTCTCTCATATGAAAATAGGAAAATGATAACATATACCTCATAAGAACATGAAGATTAAAATAGCTGCTATGTATGATGTATACAGTAGGACTTCAGCTTTGCTAAGTAATTATAATTATTGTGAAGTTAGAATAGAACCCGACATACACTAAAGGTTTCATCAACTGTTAAATTAGGGTGTGTTTAACTCTATCATTTCAGTTAGGATAATTAACATTGGAAATCCGCCAAAGACTAGTACATTTTCTGGCCTACATAGGATCTATATTTGGAGAATGACCTGGTAACTCTAGGTAAAATTTGGCATAAACAGATTGTTATAAATTTCTAATTTATATATTTAAAAAAAAAAAGCAAATTATTGTACATTTCAATATAGTAAATAACATTTGCTGTGTCTATATTATATCCCAGGAGTTGTTCCAAGTGCTTTTTACTAACTTATCTAATTATTGTTTTATAGCTGAGAAAATCTAACTACTAAAAGAGGATAGGTGCATTGTAAAAAGTCACACAGCTAGATAGGGCCAGGACTGGGATTCACATCCAGGTCATCTGACCCCAGAGCTCACCAAACATCCAATCTACTTCTGATATTCCATTTTTCATGCAAATGTATTTTGTATGTCAGATCAATTTGTCGAAGTATTTTAATTCATTCATTGCAAACAAATTAAGTGGAAAATTTGAGTTGATTAATTTTTAAAAAATCATTTGAGCATAAAGAAATTGCTTTTTCTGTTCTAGAAAAGAGTTGCTTCTGGTGTTACATGTTAATGTCATATAAACTCTGATTCTTTTGTTCTGTGGGAGTATAAGATTCTGATTTCACCAAAGGCATCCTGATGCATGAATTAATTTGCCAAAACTTTTTTCACTTACATTTCAGCTACATATTTTCAAGGTGTTGTTTAAATAATGTCGCTTTGCATTCATTTTGCTAATTCTTTGCAAACATTAAAATGATTAAAGCTGTATCAAATCTTAACCTATGAAATGCATGATTTGTAGAATTTGAAAATGGAGAACATTGTGACAAATTATGCTTTTTAGATTCTTTAGTGTATAAGGACAAGTCTGTTCTAAAAGTAATCGCTTTAGCTGCTCTGCTTTATTGGTGCAACTTGTAGCACTTTCTGTTTGCTTTTAAAGAAAACTGGGCAAAACTTATTTGCCACTAGATGGAGCGCTCGCTTTTGGGTAGAAATAAATGCAGTACTGTCTGAACAGTAAATCACAATCATATCATGGTGGAGACCCTGGTATTTGAGGCCCTCGGCTTTTAATTGTAGAATGCATCTTTGTTCTTTGCCTGACCTGCAGCGTGACATCACTCCCTTTCTTCCTGCACGCTGGCTTTGACACAAGCCAGATGGCCATGGCCATCGGTAGGCGCACAGGCCGCCTGGTACAGCAGTTGATGAAACAGAATAGGAAGACGTTTTATGGTCAGCTGCAGGAGCACAATGAGGCTGCAGCTTTGCTAAGTAATTACATTTACCGTGCACACTTTATTCCTCACAGAAAAGGTCACAAGGAAGAAAATACATTTTTATTTATAGTGTTGTGAGGTATGGACCTTTGATCTTTTATTAGTCAGTAGTCTGCTCCAAAGGAATGCTTTCTTTCTCCTGCTCTGCAGTCACTCGTGAAAATGACATGTTTATTTATGTTTAATGGTTCTTTCAGGCTGTGCATTGTGATACTTACCTTCCCTCTTCCTCTCTTTTGTCTCTAGTAACACAAAAATGTTTTAGTTTTCTAGTGAATTTAGTTTAGAGTCATAGTTCAGGCATGTTAATACAAGCAGATTTCTGTCAGAGGTACTCCAGAGTGATTTGGTAAAACATATTACTGTTTATTATATGTTTGTTCTTCAAGGAACTCCGAAGAGACTAGGAACAGACTTTTATTTTGAGGGAGATGAGGGCCAGGAAATGAATAAGACATTAATTTTATATCCATTTTTGGATTTATAATGCTAATTTTGAAAAAAATGTTAAAAGTTAATATTACTTTGTTTCTATCTTCACTCAAATTTAATGTTTATCAGTTGAAAGATTGTATGGAATATTGAAGAAAATTGCAATGAACTTTTCTCTGAAGTTTAAGATTCACACAATTTTTTTATTCCTGCACATAATTCATGTCCACAATTTTAAAAAGTATTTTTGCACTTAAAAGGCTAGCTTGTGTATATTATTACAGAATAGATCTAGAGAATATAAATCATAAAATCAAATGAAAAGTTATATTCTCTATGCCTTCTTCAAATTTAACACTGTTCTTAAAGTGAAGTCTCCTATCCTTAAGTTATTTGACTCTCTATTTTTAAACAAATGAAACTTATCTTGCAGTATTTTAATCTCACAGTATCTTACAGTCTTTCTGTGGAGGGAGATTTGCAAATAATCACTGAAAGAGAGCAGTGTGGTATGGGAAAGAGAAGGGCTTTGCATTCAGATTGAACAGCTTTCTGTATCCTTTTCAGACTCATTGTTTGCTTTGTGCCCTTGCACCTTTGAGTCCATTTCCTCACCTGTGTATTTGGGGGATAAAACCTACCTCCTAGATTTATTAGAAGAATTAAATGATGCAATATATAGATTAGACCCTAGAAAATTCCTGCCACATGATACCTAAACTCAATAAACCCTTGTTCCTTTCAACTGTTTTAAACTTCATCTCTTTTCTCAACTTCTTGCAAAATATGTTCACAGATTACATTGCTATTATATGTGTGTATTTTATTAGTAAAATATAAATAAGTCTGGGTTGAAAGTAAGCCCGCCATCTGACAAATAGACATTTGAGATTTATTAACACTGTGTGTGTACAGTTCCAGATAAAGCTGTAGCCATCAATTGTGCAATGAATGTCTTTAACCTTTGTGATGTTTTAATTTGTTTTTGTTTTCTTTTTTCTCCTACTTAGCTCTTGCCCCTGTTTTTTGCCTCTCGTTTTATTGGTGAAGATATCACAGTGATGTCTGCATTCAACCTGCTGCATTTGGTGACAAAGAGCCAGCCAGTAGCCCTTCGAGCCTGTGGGCTTCCCTCAGGTTGCTACTTCTTGTACTCTATGCTTAGCGAGGGCGCTGGTCCGGGTGGGTGTTTCTGCTGCAGGAAATGATATACCATAATGCTTTGCTAAATTTTGTTTTCTTTTACTTGGAACCTAACTTGAAGATGGAAATTGGTTATGAGTCACCTCTTTACTTTTAGTTACATTCATTTCCACAATCCTTATAGACTTTGGAAACATTGTGCAGTTTTCTTGCTCAGTATATTATTGTCACTAATATTTCATGTTATCTTCTTTTTCTGTAATGCTTACTATGCATCTGAAAGTCAGAAGGTTCATGAAAGTCTGGAAATCTTGATAAGAAGCTGTCCCAAATCACATAAATTGGGACATTCATTTTGAAAAAGCAATTAAAGTGCTTTGCATTCCACATGTGACCATTCCTTGAGAAAAAAAAATAAAATCAACTCTAGTATAATAGAGTGACTTATTTATTGCAGTTAAAAAAGGTGTTTTACTTAACAGTGATCAAATACAATTGAGTCTTGAACAACACAGGTTTGAGCTGCATGGGTCCATTTATGTGTAAGGTTTTTTTTTTTTAGAAGTGGGGTACAGGCCAGAGTCGCAGGGGGTGAGAAGATTCATCAGAGAGAGCAGGGAGCAGAACAGGCAGATGTACCAAAACACACTGCTTTGGGGAGCAGTGGGCGAGACAGGAGAGGTCTGCCAAGCCATGTGGGTTGCTCCCAGCTGGCCAGGGATTGAACTCGCACCACAAAGGCTGTGGACAACCTCACAGCGCTGCTCTCAACCCCCTGCACCATGAGGGAGGCCCTGTGTGAGGTTTTTATTAATAAACAGATGATATAAACTTATACTGTCATTAAATCCAGTTCTGTACTATAAAGTTATTTTTCCTTTTTTATTCTTAATTTCATTTTTTTATCATAAGAATACAACATTTAATACCTATAACATACGAAATATGTGGTTCATAGACTACTTATGTTATAGATAAGGCTTCTTAGTCAACAGCACAGTATTGGTAGTTAAGTTTTTGGGGAGTCAAAAGCTCTGCATGGATTTTTTTTTAATTTAAATTTTATTTTTATATTCCCCATACAATCACAACCTCCTTATTTTGACCCCAAGCCCTCCTTTCCCTGCCCACCACCCCCCATAGAGTGTCTCTGGTTCATAGTTGTTTGTTGATTTTGATATTTTCTTTCTTATAGTTATTCTTTTTCCTGGTCCCTTATTTAAGTTTTCTAGATTCCTGCTATGTGTGAGGCCATCCGGTATTTTTCTTTTTCTTTCTGGCTTATTTCTCTGAGCATGATCCCTTCCAGCTCCATCCATGTTGCTGCAAACCTGCATGGATTTTTTTTTTTCCCTAGGCATCATTTCAATTTAATTTTCATTTACAATCTATTTGCAATGCATTACATATTTTATTTAAAAAATTTTTAAATTTTAACATTTATTATTTTTTTTACATTTTTATAGACAATATTTGCTTCCCCCCACCCCCTGCAAGGATTTTTGACTATGCATTGTGCAGGTGTTGTAACACCTAACTCCTGTGTTGGTCAAGGGTCAACTATAAACAACCGATGTAGCATGTGTCAAATAGTTCTTGTTAGAACCACCACACACTTAAAAATGTGATTTTAAGCATTTAAGCAGTTGAGGCATAAAATTCCAACATTTCATTGTGTCTATAAGTTTAATATTTTAATTTTATATGAAAATCACAATGTAAGGTATTTTCTGTGATTATTGTCAATATTATTTATAGTTTTATTAGTGCACATATTTTCACTCCTGTATTATATAGAGAAATTAATTCCAACTCCTCAAACATTCATTCAGTATTAACTGTGGTGCCTGGCATTGTGTGAAGCAGTGAGGATAGAATGATAAACAAGATTAAGTTGATTTCTTTAATAAGTATGATGTTGAGATAGAACTTTGTGAGAATCATTGAACCATGTGATGATGGGACTAAACTGAAGGTATTTTTGCATTGGGATGTTAGGGGGCTCCTGAGGAGAATGGGTACTGCCTCTTTTCTTACGGGAAAAAATTCTGGAAGGCAGGGAAGGTCTTTGAACTTAAGGAGGGATTCATGGATGATATAGTGCTAGAACTGAATTTCAGTCTATAAGCAGCAGCTAGACACCAAAGAGGAAGAACAAAGCATGAAGATTGAAAGAGCGAGGTATGTTTAGAGAAATGCAGGTATTTTAATCTGGCTGGCTTGAATGGATGAGGGCAAGTAGAAGAGTTGAATCAGGAAGGAAAACAAACTTGGTGAAATATTTTATATGATGCTTTAAAGAATTTAAATCTTGGGGAAGGGCTGATGGGACAATAACTTGACTTGAATTGCATTTTATAAGGTTTATTGATTTCATATGGTGGAAGGTCAGTGCTGCTTCTAGATATGTTATGAAGCCACTGGAATGGCAACTTGATTTGAAAGGAGGATAGGGCGTTTGTCTTAAAGGTCTATTTGAATAGTAAACATGCTATAAAAATAGATTTTATGTCTATATGTGGTGACTTGAGATGCTAATGAAGTTTAATTAATGTATGGAGACCCCAGCAGCTCTTCTCAATACTTGTGCTTCCCTTGCCCTACAATTCCCCTGCACTGCAACCAAAGAGTAGGAGGGGTTTGGGGCTGGAGGGACTCTTGTGCTAAGAACCTTAGCAATGGTCATTACAGTAGATTTGGCAAAAAGGGAATGGATAGATCAGAGCGAGATTCTGGTTGTAGAACTGACAATGCTTATCTGTTGCATTGCATATGAACTTGAGGGACAAAAGCCAGTGTAGTCTCTGTATCATAGGGAACTTCTTCATAGCCATATTTCATATAGCAGTTAGAGTACGGAAGTCATTTTGTTCATATATAACCATGTTTTTCATTGGAAAAAAAAAGCCCTGATGTGTGAAAACACCGGCATAGTTCTTTTAACAAGTTTGCTATTTACTGAAGAGCCTAAGTAATTTTAGAAAGAACATATTAATTAACAGGGTATTCCTCGAGATCCGACAATCATGGAATTAAAGAGTTTCAAAGCACTTAGAACAGTGGTTGTCATGTAGTAAACACCACTTTTAAGTAAATGCTCACGTTAAGTAAATGCTCATTAAGTACACTGTAGATATCTGTATCTACATAGATATTTAGTTTTGCATTTTTCTAGTACAATAGTCTTTTAAGAACAATTAGATACGTATATATTTATTTCTAACTTTTTCAAACTTTCTTTTAACTGTTTTTGTTTTACTAGGAATCATAGATATACTTTGAGAAATAACCATCTGAATTTGTTGTTTTGATGCCTTTATTTTACATATATATATCTGCTAAGCCATGATTCAAGTCCTATAAATATAACACACATTTTAAAAATTCTTATTTTCCTGTATTGATGGAAGTTCAGAGAAATTGTCTTTCTTACTTAGGGCACGTAAGCCCATTTTAATTTGATAAACAAAATGGCTACGTAAGTATTGCATAGTTTCTTGGCCATTTAAGTATCCCTTACTCTTTGAAGTGTTAATGAAAGTCAGTCTTTCAGTTTCTATATATTTTATAACTCAAATATTAGTATTTGGCATCTATTTCTCTGAATTTTATCCTTAATAATAGAGAAATGTTAAAGATGTAATATTAACTGAAAAAATAGTGAAACAAACCATTTAAAGCTTGAAATCTAAAGGTGGAATTGAAGTGGGAATTTTAATCCCTGTTACTTCATACAAGTAGGGAGAAAAGAGGCCAAAATTGGAGATATAGGAAATTAAGATGAAAGTTTGAAGTCTTGCTTTAATTTACTATTCCTTGATTAAAACCCATTACTAGAAAATTTCTGTAAATCAAAAAGATTTCTCCTCCCTAGCTAGTACTCTACTAACTGGATATTATTCAATGCAAAATAATTCCAGAACTAAAAAAAAAAATAATTGGAATGAGCTCTTAAAGTTGATTATAACTGGATTGACCTATATAAAGGCCATATCTCAGAAGAGTGATATATTGTTTTTCAGCTTTGACTTTCTTGTTATTTTTTTAACGAAGTATCACTTTAATTTAGAATTTATTAAGTGCATCTGAGTTATGGTTCACTCATGTTTGTAATTAAAGGTATTTTTTTTTCCTCTCTCAGAATTTCTTCTTAATTTCCTATAACAGTTTCTTTTATGTATTAAAGAGAGCACTGGATTAGGAGTCAGAAAACTCACCACAGCTCTGTCTTTAACTTGTTCGACCTTGAACATATCAGTAAATCTCTTTAGATCACAGTCTCTTTACCTTTAAAATGAGGTATTCAATTTAATCTATTCAGTATTGAAATTCTATGATTTTATTGGCTGGAATTTGTTTTCACTATTGGCTTTGACTTAATCAAATCATGAAGCTCAGTATTAATTAATGTCTTGGAATTTACAGAAAAATCTGCTAGGTTGTGGTGGGAGGACAGAAATATTTTCCATATTTGAACATTAGAATTCCTTCCCTCTAAGTCAACTGAAGTATTATCTGAGGAGGGATTGGGAAGCACAGTTTTATACATAGTTTCAGTGGTTGATAAAAATTATGTCTAATTGTAGTTTAGATATTATGGTAGCTTTCAGCCAAGTAAGAGCATTTGTATAAACAGCTGTAATTAGTTACACTTTTCTCTAGCATCATACACATAATATATGGCTGTTACTGTTACTTGACTTTAGTGGCATATTTAACAGTGTGCATAAATTGAAGAGCCACATGGCTGTTAGGTGGTTTGTAAAGAAATTATATCATAATATTCAAAGAAGACTTAAAGGCAGATAATTTGCAAATGGTGTTTATAAGTCATAGAATATCATGTTTAACTAGAACTCTGTGAAAATCACGGACTTGTGGCTCCAGAGCTTAGCACAGTGCCTGGCACTTAATAAATATTTGTTCAATGAATGGATAAACATTTGGAAAGTTAACATGTTGGTGAAGTGACAGCTTAACGGTATAAATTTATT